GTCGTATTGGTTTAACGTTACGACTCGTGGGGAGTGTCCGGGGGTCCGTAATACCGTTTATTTAACTAACCAGGGCCACGCGTGGACGGAGCCAGTGCGCCTTTACAACCCGAGTACCAGTTCGAGACTTCAAGGAAGCATTCTAATATGGCCACAGGTTCATCCAATTTATAAACAACATATAATCGGTTGACTTTGAACCTAAAACAAGCATAAAAAGGAAGTTTACTCATTTTTACTTTTTTTTTTACTCAAGAAATGAATTTCAGCATAAATTTAAAACCCTCGCAGCCAGAAATGTACATCTGGTTCGTATATTGATACAGGTTCGAATATCGCGCGCCACCTTTTAGAAGCGAAAAGCAATTAACTGAGGCAAAATGTGAAATTTAGGAAGAGTTTTTCTTTTATACAACGGGTAATAATATTTTGTTAATCGACACTCTGGCAACCGTAGACTTGTTTTACTCTCTGCTACCTCGTTGGGCGTGCGCTTGTGCGGATACCCCCGGTACGTTGTCTGTGCTCGGTGCGTCGGATTTTGACCTGCGTTCCCCGGTGGCTTATCATGGCTTGCTGCTTTATCGTCGATGTGTAGCCTAATGCCTGATAAATTAAATTACAACCGCTAATGCGCAAATAACGTGTGATATGTTGGTTCCTGTTCGGGATGACCCAGTCTTGATCGTGTTGCCAAAAACAAGAACGATAAGCTCTACAGCGCATCATGATGCGCTATAGATCTCTTGATTTCCATTCTCACGAATGGTGCGCCAGGAGAACTAGGGTGGCTTCGCTGAGTATCACTGACTGTAGTTAGTGATCCTCACTCGTGGCTTCCCCCGCCTCCCGTCTTTTTGTCTTAATCTATCAAATGTTCGCATCTTATTGTCGTCGAATAAGTCGTAGTTCGTCAAGTTTTTCCCCGTTGCGGTTGCATAAGTGTTCCCACGCGTCCCGAAAGAAACTTATAAAAATTTCCGCGAGGTTCCTCGCACAAGATTGGCTGGCGGTCGCTAACTGCCCGTTATAGCTGAAGTTGTTGCTTGCGTTGAGATAGAGACGGACGTGATTTCCGCGATGCGAGCAACATTGCATGTGATGCAACAGGTGCTACTGGTCATTCTGGCATTAATCCTCCATCGGGTGGTGGTTTCCTAGTGACCATGGCAGAAGCCAAGCTAATGCAATTCTGTGGTACCTTGACGGGCTGACTGTCTGCTGGTCGTTTTCACACCGAATCCTCTAGGTTCTTGTTGACTTTGTTTTGTAAAAGGTGATTTGGTACACAATTCTGCGTAATTTTCTCTACGGATTCAAATTTTCTGCGCCGCCCCCAGTTCTATTACTGACTGTGTTCACGCCTACGAAGTTATCTTCCTATCTATTTTACAGATAGACGAACACGATGGCACATTTTGATGATGAAGACTTCGCCGCAGTCGAAACTGGTGCATCTATGTCGGAACCGAAGCAGTGCAGTGCTCTGCGCACTAATGGCTTCGTGGTCATAAAAGGCCGACCATGCCAGATTACGAGCATGTCGACATCGAAGACTGGAAAACACGGTGCTGCCAAAGTGCACTTGGTTGGTGTCGACATTTTTACGGGGAAGAAGTTTGAAGAGCAAAATTCGTCCACTTCGACCATGATGGTGCCTTCAATTACACGCAAGGAATATCAGCTCTTGGATATCAAGGATGATTTCCTTTCCCTAATGGGGGATGACTTGTCAGTCAGGGAAAACATCAAAGTCCCTGAGGGGGATGTGGGTAACGAACTTCGTGAAAAATGGGAGAGCAAAAATGACGACGATATGATTTATGTAAGTCCTATAATCCTTTTTATAACGTTCGATTCAGGTCTCAGTCGTCTCTGCTATGGGAGAGGAGCACGCCCTCCGTTTTCGTGTTTGCCAACCCTGAACTCTCCAACTGCTGCGCCAAACCTTGTTTTCTACTTTATGCTTTGACAATAAGGGTGGAGTACAAGAACGAGTAACCAGAGTGATTATATTTTCCATCAATAAACGTTGCTGGATAATAACAGAAATTTTTTAATAAGGCGGACGTTCTGCCTCCTGAACGGAGTAGTCGTGTGAGGGCCCGACAAACTCATCCCATGCTTTTCTGCATTTGGCAGTGATCCAAGCATGTTCGTCCGAATCTTCAAATAGTTAGTAACTATCGCACACTTACCAGCATTGCGTAGAAAGTTTCCTTCATAGTCAGTAACTGTCTTCTTAGCTGGATCGTAAAATCCATCTCCGGTGTCGTAGCATCCCTCGGGTATCTCCCTTGGTGGTTCTTTGTCAACGAGCTGAGATCGCCCTGGAAGATGAGATGTATATGTTAATCGGTTTTTGACTTTTCAAAGTGACCTTATCAAGAAGGTGCAAGTTTTGTTGCGTAGTTCGAATTAAGCTATTGGTGATCGATTGCCAAATTATAAATTAGGTGCGGTATGATGGCTCACCTCAGGGTCAACAACTGACGGACGGTGCTTACCCCCACCTCCCCTACTTAATCAGGCTTTCTCCACCGAAGACATTAGCGACACGGTTAAACGAGTGACCATCGCACTTTACAGCGAAATACTGTCGAGCGAACTTCACTGATCAATGCCAGCGTCATCCCCACGAGGTTGGTAGTAACATTTGAGGTCGGTGGATCGGACTTTTTTGGGGCAGAGGGGGAAGAAAGTGGACCTCCATGGTCAACTCAGTACGCGGTCTAACTGCGCGCACACCGTTTCACACATAGGCTTTATGAAGAGCTCGTGCCAACATCATGTGGAGCTTTCAGAGAAAGTACGATTCTATGCTAAACGCATGTACGTCGTGCATTGCTACCGGTCACTAAGCTGTAACTGGACGATAATGTGTTTGTATCGTCTGAACCGCATCAGCTTTGTCAAGCGGTCTGGGTTTTGAGCTACCGGTCCTGTCACCCTTCGTACTGGTCCCTCTTCCTTTTATCTCTGGTGGCTAATGCGTGCTTAGGGTTCCTTCGATGCTGGTAGCGTCACGCAAGGAATTATGATGTCCTTTTTAGCCTGCAGGCCTTCACGCAAAACGAATTGTGGTGGTCGGTAATTTCTGCTTCCTTCACTGTGTCGATCACCGACTCCGGTGTCATGGATCACGGCCGCGAATTATTGGGTCACGATGGAGTCCTCTAGTGCGAAAGTCACATGAGAAGCAATTCGGTCGACAAGATCCCGGTGTTTGGGATGAATCCCCACAGAACTCGATCGGGTTTGCCATCGTACAGCGTAATGCAATGAAGCGTACTTCACTGATCACTGAACTCGATGCGCACAAGGTTGGTGAGAAAGTGTTGGGACGGTGGGGATTGGGTCGCTTTTGAGAGGTAGTGGAAAACAATCTGTATGGCCAACACTACGCATACATACTACTTCGTGCATTCTGATCTGATGAGAAGTGACATCCAGGTGGTCATTGCTGTCGGTTAGCAGTCATGACTTTCAGTGTCTCCAAGAATCTAGTCTTTTGGACCCAACCCGGAAGATTAGAAACACCTTTGCTTATCCTTGGGTGAACTTCGTGCATCGTCTCTACATGATATGCTGGCCTCCGCGTCTCTCTCTGGTTTGAGACGGCCACTGCAAATTAAGCACGGTGAGGCAGGCGTCATACGCAAAACGTGTCCTGACCAGCGGATTGAGCTGAATTCCATACGATAGCGAGTTCTTGTTCGATGCAGTCCCTAACACCCGAATTACATCTAGTTTACCAATTTATTCACTCCATCCGACCTCGGCCAGACTACGTAAGCATCGAGTGCCGAAAACCACTGAGCGATGGACGTCTTCCACTCGCAAATTCAAAGTCAACCGTAAAGCAGTACAGTAGTGCAGTATACATGNNNNAGGGACTCGGCCACACCCAGTCTTGTAGCGGCACTTTGAAGGTGCAGAGCGGACGGTGGACGTTAACTCTTCCTGTCCTACTTGTCCCTTGTAATGTTCTTTTCGCCTGGTGAAAATGGGAAATGCAATGCAATAAATGCCACGTTCGGTCGTAACCATGCATATATGAGTACATAAATGTATACAGTCCTTCAAACGAAGGTTGTTTTGGTGGTTGGGGTAGTACAGCTCGATGTTCAGTTGATCACAGCTTGGGAGTTGTGTTGCCAAAGTCTCATCACCGATCAAGGTGACGTTCTCGGTCGCTCATGTGAGTGACCCAGTTATTGCACTGAGAATGTTACTTGCTCGAAAGGCAATAGGAAGAGTGGAGGAAT